ATTGAACACTTTATGCCTTAAAAAATATATATATATATATATTTTCATAGCTGCTAACGGCTTTCCATAGATGTTAAGTCCAACTTAAGCTACGGTCACAAAGGTTCGTACGAACGATAATTTCGTACGAATCTCCCTTTTTCCATTGTCTTCCCGAATTTCCATTGTCTGAAAATCGTTCGTACGGCATAGCTGTTCGTAATGGCATTTGTGGCCGAGGCTTAAGAGATAAGTTCAGCTTAGCATCTTTGTCAAACACCCCGCAATAAAGCCTTATTTGTCATGTATGTTTTCATATAATACATATCTATGAAACGAAACGAACATTTCAATAATTGTTTTGCTATCATTCATTCATCGATGTTTAGAGAATCATTATAAGCGTATATGTCAATAGCTAAACTACATATTGGCCCCAAATTAATGACTCTTTCCAAAAGAATAATAATAATACGAAATATAAATAAATAATAATAATAACATTATGTTTTGTTTACCCGGGGTAGTCTCATCAGTATGTTCACTGTTCTTCCTTAGGGCTCTGCAATTAAATTATTCCCCCAGCTCAAAAGAAAATGACTCGCACGTCAAATCCAAATCTTCTTCACTTTAAAAGGTACCAAACGAATTCGTTTATGAAGCCATTGTCTACAGTATGAAATCATGAAGAATATTTGACTTTAATATTTAATGGGTTCAATTTAATAATGATAATAATAATACACCGATCTTGCATAGTATATCACATTATGATATAACGTACAAAGATGCTTTGAATACTAATAGCCTAGCTTATAGCTCTGGCAGCCGCCGGGCAGCGTCAGCCGTCATCAGCGCACATGGCATTTCAAGGAATGGATCCTGCCAGGTACACATTTAACAACTTGATGAAGAGTGGCTAATTTGGATTAATATCTTGCCAAAAGACGTGAGTGCCGGGCTGGGAATCGAACCCTCAACCCTTCTTGACACCTAACAGGTTTAGCACTATTAAAACGTTAATGTTTGATATAAACTAATGATGAAATGAAATTGAATTGACCTTTATTCATTTTCGAATTATATTTTCTTCTCTTTCTTTATATATATTTTGTTTTCTTCATTCAATTTAACAAATTGCTTATTGACACCATTTTCAAAAGGCAAATTCAACCTTGATAGACAATAATTCTACGATATATTTGTTTTTAAAGACAGAGAAGCAGATTGCTGAAACTTGACTGAATTTAGGAGCTTAATATTTTATAATGTAATCCCTAGACTTATGGACACTTCATATTGGATGTATGGGTAATGCGACGTTATGCTGGACCATTTCAAATTATTTCATCACTCAAACTGTCAATTTAAAACGTATGCATTACTAAGGTCGGCCTTTACTTTTTACGAGAACCTTTAACAAGATATGCTATCCATAATATTTGGATTTTGGTGAGGCGAGGCATTTGGACTCCTAAATGGATGCTGTGACAAAAAAAGGGTTGAAAAATAACACGCTAATCAAGTATAATAAAGACTGGTTCCACCTCCCCCCCCCCCCCCCCCCCCCCGCCCCCACACTAATGGCTGAGCCCACGATACCTCACTGAACTGAAGAATTTAATCCTTTATAAACATCAAACTACAGAAAAAATATCCCCACGATTTTTTTTTTTTTTGATTTTTTAATCCCTTTTAAACTTTGTTAATTCTTTATTTCTATGATTTATTTAGTTATGTACCGTGTTATCATATACACCCTCTGTCTAGGAGTCAGTAGAAATCCATAATTTACCCTTTAGTTAATTCCATTTTCCCCTCTCCTCTCTCTCTTTCTCTGTCTCTTTCTCTCTTCTTCTCTCTATTATGTGTATGCATCTTTCTCTCTCTCTCTCTCTCTCTCTCTCTCTCTATATATATATATATATATCTCCTTTTCCTTCTTTGTATTTCTCTCTCTCTCTCTCTTTCTCCATCAGTATGAATATAACATGCTTACCTTTTAATGGTTGTTATCCGATGATGAAGAGCAATGCGAACCTACATGTCTTGGTATCTTGGTATCTATCTTAGATATCTGGTATCCTGGATCTTGCGGCTCTCCTAAATATCCTGCGAGGTGAATTTATACGGGACTTGTGGTTGAGGGTCGTCGTTATTTTTGAAGTGAAGTGTCGTGAAAAATTTCAGTTGCGATTCAAAAGATTTGCCAAAGATGGTTTAAAAGCACAGTTCATGTGATATAATTGGATATTCCAGTGCGTTTTACAGTTGTTCAAGTTTCTGCTTCATGTCTACAAGGTAGAATAGTTCGATGTGGAGGCATACAAGATACAAGTGTATCATTCGAATGTCTAAAACATCAACATTACCCTACCTCGGCCTTGATTCGTCTTTGGATTTAGTGAGGTGTACAATGCAGAGGTTCTTGCAACCTGGCGATGTAGATAATATTTGGGGAAAAGATAATATTGCCTTGTTCTTTTGAGTGGAAAATTTCTCCTCCTCTGGATGGGTAAAAGGATTTTTCAATTTTCTGGGTGACGTGTGCAAGAACGTGCATTTTGTATTGTTGTGCTCTCTGTGATATATTTACTGTACAACCGACTGTTACGTGTTAAAATTGTATTGTATGCAAATGAGAATTCCTCAAGTTCAAGAAACGAACCAATGAGAATAATTGCCGCCTTCCCGGTACCGTTCCGCAGCTACATTTGCACACGTCTCGTTAAGAGAGAGGGACAGATAGAGGGTAGAGATAGTGGCATCCCACATGAAGCCGAATACACTCACATAGCTTTCCTTACAAGTTCTACCAGTTAACAGTAGAGATTGTTTATCAATATACATTTAACCTATCTCTTAATTATGTCAGAGTTCGTAATGCCAGTGATAATAAATTTAATTATTAAAATGAATAAGTAATGGTAATGTAAATAGCTTGGGGTGTGTTTGTTTGTATGTGGGGGTGCCGGGGGTTCAGTCTCCGAACCCCCTATATAGACACACACAATATACTCACAAACTCATACACAAAGGCCGTATGAACATCATTATGTTGAGGCCGCCTACCTATACTCAACCGTCGCTTATAATTGCGGTCTCCTCCACTGTTTCTACTAGACAAGTTCGGATAATACTTTAAATGTATTATAATCTTTTATGAAATACTAAGTTCGTTATTATATGTATAAGGTTCTATAGGACATTTACCCCCTGGGCAATCACCCCCCCCCCCCCGGCCAATTACCAGCGGGACAATTACCCCCGGAAAATTACCCCCGAGGACAACACCCCCCCCCCCCCGAGGACAATTACCCCCTGAAACCAAATTCTGCTTTCATTAAGAACAACTAATTATCACGGTGGACCCTGTAAAGAACAGGGGGAAATTTCTTCTTCTTTTTTTTTTTTTTTTTTTTTTTTTGGGGGGGGGGGGGGGGGGGCTCATTGTCCTCGGTTGTCCTGGGGGGGGGTAATTTTCCTAGGCGGTTATTTTCAGGGGTGGGGGGACTTTTTCGGAGGGTGATTGTCCAGGGGGTAATTGTCCTGATACGTAGGTATTTACAACAGATATTTGACAGGAAGTTATTATTGTTTGTACACAGAAAGATGTATAAAGGACTATACACAAACATGTGGAATAAAAAAGAGGCCTCATTTTTAAGCTATTATCATATTTAGAATATGAAGGCATTTGAAGAGCCATGCTTTTCAGGGACCTTTTTTCTCTGATGTTCTACCACACTTCACAAATTATTTCTCAACTCTCCCCAGCACTACATTTTCTCTTTAAGCCCTCATTACACCAAACTAGTCCTCACTGCGTTCTGGAAAATGTTGCTAAATGGGCTCAAACGTACTACGAACGGAATTGTCGTACTATGAACGAAATTTCCGCACTTTGATCCTACTAGGGACATGTTACAACGTGATGTGGTCGAGCATCAATTAGCAGTAAGATACTTGAATGTCTGAATTGAATTGAATCTGAATTGAATCTGAATTGAATCTGAATTGAATTCATTAAACCAATATATAGGCCTACATGAAAAAGCAAAACATACAATAAAAATAGAATGCATAACACATACAAAATACAAAGCAAATACATGGTCAGGACCACAAATGAGCAAATTGCTTATAAATAGGGCCCCCACAAATAAAAAAAATAATTAATTATAATTCGGTCACCATACCTACACACGCACACGCACACACGCACGCACATAAACACACACACACACGCCAAACACACGCACTCATACATATATTATATTTATATATATATCTATATATGAAGAGCTTAATTCCAAAAGGAGCTAATTCCACTTTTGATGAAAAAAGAGTTATTGATATCAGAACATTATTCACTTTAGTACCCGTCTTTGAACAAAATTATTTACTTAAATTTTTGGAGCAATTATGAAAAAAATGCAACTTCTAATATCACTTTTCCATAGACGCCTGTACAAAATCTGGTAAACAATGACCTTTTTCTCCAGAATTACAAACATGGATTTAGCTCCTTTTGGAATGAAACTCTTCATATATAACATGTTGATTTTTGAAGAAGTGTTATCACAAGCCACTCATTTTTTATTTTTTCATGTTTGTTTTACGCTAATTCAGTATGGCCCCCAAAAAGGAATTCAGTACCATCAATTTATTTGTTATGTTACTAATTATAATCAAATATGTTTAACACTATAACACTGATTTATGGAGCGCCAATACACCCTTTCACGGTTTCAAGAGAGCGCCCTTTTGTTTTCTACGAGTAAATATTGTGAGTAATTTTTATTTCATGCATCATTCAAAGGGCATGTATCGATATGATGTGAGCGCGCAGCGCAGGCAGCGACGCAACAATACATGCGCGTCTGACAACATTGATGACGCAATGTTTATTTGCAAATTAAAATGGTGGCCTTAACCGTGAAGGGGTGTATTGTCAATGTATTTCATTTCGTAAACTGCCATGGCCCCACTTTCTCTTTTCATTATCTCCGTTGTTTTTTGGTTTGTGCATTTTATAGAAAGAGATGCTACCCTTGATCCTTGGGATCGTTGCCGTTTTGATGTGTGTCTACTTCACCCAACAAAATGGCTTCACCGTAGTACAGACCATTCAGGCAGGACTTGATGTGGAATCAGCGCAATCAGTATCACGGAAACAACTCCCAAAACCGGCAACAAGCCTGGTCTTCATTAAAACTCACAAGACCGGTGGGACGACTATGGCATCGATACTCAACCGATTCGGTTACAGGAATCGTTTATCTTTTCTATTCAACAAAGGTGATAAGGTGCATGGTCACTTCCGGTTATCAAAGCTGGCTCAAAAGAAACCTCGTAGCTTCCTTCCTCCACTTTGCGTTGCTACGGGCGACTACAAGCATTACAAGAACTACAGCATGATGACCGCACACTTAAGACTTCTTCCCAATCTCGTTCAGCTGAAACGATTCATGAAATCCGATTGCAAATTTGTATCGATCCTTCGCGAACCGAGCGCGCAGTGGGAAAGTGCGTTCTCGTTTTTCGGCGCCGCGCGTTCAATGCATATCAGTAAAGACGGGCGCGGGAATACAAGCGTTGCGAACATCGCAACCTTTTTGAGCAACCCTAAATTCTACTGGAATACCGCCAAAGGTGGTCATGCAAAGTACTATTCAAGAAACGGGCAGCTGTTTGAATTCACCGAAGATGGCGCCATTCATGACTACGAAGACACCGTTAACGACATCATTAAGCAGCTGGATTTGCACCTACACTTAGTTGTTATAACAGAATACTTCGACGAGTCTCTCATTCTTCTAAAAAATCTAATGAATTGGAGTTTCAGAGACATAATATACGTGAAGAAGAATGCGCGTGTAACACATTCAAATATAACAGAAGAACAACGAGAGAAGATACGAGAATGGAATAGCGCTGATATCTTGCTTTACAATCACTTTAATCGGACGCTCTGGCAAAAGATTGCCGATCAAGGAGCCAGTTTCGAGAGAGATTTGCGGACGTTCAGAGATTTGATGAGGGACTATTCTGCCGAGTGCGGGATAGAAGATAACGAGGCTGCGCGTAAAGGACAGAAGATGCTTCGCGTCGGTCACGTGACCTCGAACAACTCGGTTTTCTGTAAACGACTGGTGAGTGAGAACTACGAGACTACGAAAATGATCATGGCAAGACAACGGCTTGGCGCCCTCTGTGGTGTGAAGAGGAGCAAAGTTATTTGAAGAGAAGGTTGATTTGTTGTAAAGATGAAAAATGGTTTATGAGCTTTCTCATTCTTTTACCTCAGTTTGTACGAATGTCATCGTAGAAAAATGTTCCCTGAAAAGGATTAATAATAATAATGATAATAAAACTCAGTTTTTATATAGCGCAAATTAAGTCTCTAAGCGCTATGGAAATAGAAGAAAATCAAGAAGTGAGTACAGAAGAAATTACATAATGGCATGATGAATATCCAAACTGGAAACTGCATGTACTTGTATAATACATTGTATTGTATAAAGAATGGTACGAAATTACGTTTGAAAAAGGTGAGACTTTAACAGAGGCTTAAATAGATCGGATAAGTCTTCAATTCTATTAAAATATGTTATATAGAGAGGTCCAGGATTTTGAAAACTCAACACTGCATTATTGGCAGATGCAGATGTTGTTGACTCACTAACAGATGAAATTAAAATAGTTATGACTAAAAATGCAAGTTCGAGCTATAGTCAAATACGGGAATTCATGAAATTTAGAGTTCTTTGTAAGTTTATCGAAATTTCCAAAAGAAAGAAAAAGGAACGCAGAATGCGATCAGAAGAGTTAGAGAAAGATATCAATAGGTTAACCAACAATGAAGCAAATTGGAATAATGAAAGTTTACGTGGTGATTCATGAGACAAGAAAAGAGAATATGAATATTTACATTAAGAAATTGTTCGTGGTAGTATTGTTAGAACTAAAGCTAAATGAGTTTCAGAAGGTGAACGTTGTACCAAATATTTTTTTTTAATTTAGAAAAAAGGAATTGTTGAGCAAAAATGTATTTCCAGGCTTCAAACGGCAAATGTACCTATTACATATTTTAAAGGTATTTTCGAGGAAGAAAGGTTGTTTTACCTTAACATATATGCATCTAGTGATAAACAAGATTATCCATGTGAATTGTTTAAAACAAATTGTTTTACCTAACCTGGATATCAATGACGACGATTTTTCTTTAGGTGATCTAATTTCAGGAAAAGAGTGCTATAAAACTATGACAACTTTTAAAAATGACAAGTCACCGGGATTTGATGGACTTTATAGAGTTTTGTAAAACTTTCTGGTATGATGATATCATAGACTTGTTATGTTCCGTTTACAATTCCTCTTTGCTTGATAACATTCTTCTTTTATCTATGCGAGCATGTATTATTACTTTGTTGCCAAAAAGGTAGAGATTTGTTACTTCTCAACAATTGGCGACCAATATCACTTCTAAACAGTGGTTATAACATTTTATCAACAGTTCTCTAATCGCGAATGAGAAAGGTTTTAGGGTTATGACCAATATGGTTTTTATTAAAGGACGTTTTATTGGAGAGAACATACGATACTCTTCATGTTTTTGGAATTGACCAGTATTTTATTACGTGGGTAAAATTACTGTATACAAATATAAAAGGACGAGTTATTATTAATGGGTTCCGTCAGATTAATTTGAGATAAAGCGTGGTGTGAGACAGGGATGTCCTTTGTCTCTATATCTTTTTATTATTGCAGTTGAAGTACTTGGCTTTTTCGTGAGACAAAATGAAGATATTAAATGGGGAGGTAAATATTAGTCAATATGCAGATGCCACGGTTATTTTACTTGAACCTGATGAATCGAATATTCGTAGATGTGTTAAAGTCTTGAATGACTTCAGAGGAGCCTCTGGTTTGAAAATTAATTTTGAAAAAATGTTATATGATTAGACTGGGAAATTGTAAAGTTACTATGCCGATGTGTCAATACATTCCATTTGTTTGGCCTTCAGAATGTTTTACATTACGTAGGTATTAAAATTACTTTGAATGGTAATTTGAGTTTTCATGATCATAATTTCAAATACAAATTTAAGGAAATTAAGACAACGTTGAATATATGGAATCGTAGGACTTTAACCTTGTATGGATAGGTGACCAATATTAAATATCTAGTTATACCAACATTGATTTATGTACTTTGTATTCTTCCTGATCCCCCTTTATCATTCTTTAATTCTATTCTGTTCTATTTAATTTGTGAGGAGTAATAAGAAGGACAAAATTAAACGCTCTTTGCTTTACATTAAATATAAGGAAGGAGGCCTTAAAATGCCCCATCTGTTATCTTTTAACCTTGAAATGAGAGTTACTTGGATAAGTAGATACTTTGATGAAAAAACAAAAGTAAATGGACAACGTTTTGTGCACATTCCCTGAGACATATGGGAGGTGATTTTTTTTTGCGGCAATCTCCGCTCTGATCATTTAGTGTTCAATAAATACGCAGATCCTTTCTGGAATGATATATTGATTGTATGGATTCAATACAAGTACTACAACCCAGTTCAATTTAAGGAAATTCTTCCCCAGCCACTTTGCCTTAATTCTTATATACTGGTTGGTGGAAAACCTCTCAATATTAGACGTTTTAATTATTTTTCCTCTCTTTTCCTCATACGAGGCACTTTATTACTTTTTATCATTTTAACAACATTGCGTATAGAGTTTAATTACAAAATATATATATATACACAATCAACAAACTGATATAATGAAATAGGGGAAACATAAAGTGGAAGGGAAAGATCAAGGCATGAATAGAAATGCGTTAAAGGTTCAACTAAGAAAGATTCATCTTGATATTACTTATTAATTCTTCTTGGTTTCTGTATTGCCAATTGACAGTCATCCAAATCGAGTGACTATTGAAGGATTTACTTCTAAAATGATTAATTATGATATGATATATGTTAAGGATATTGTGCACATTGATGGTTCATTTATGTCTTTTGATCAAATCCAAAGCCAAAATTATTTTTCTGTCGGGTTCATTTATATTATAATATTCAGTTCTTTCCGCATTACCTAGCAGTTTGAAAAGTATTCTGAAAAAGGGACATTTTGAAAAAAGAAAGTTACTTTATTGAACGAATTCCGTAAACCTAAAAAGGTATCAACATTTTCGTACAATATTTTCTTAAACAAATTTTCAGCAAATATGTCTGAAACAAATCAACAGGATAAATGCCAAACGGATGTACAAAATAATTTAAACGATTCACTAATTTGGAAATCCCGCTTTACGTTACTGTATAGGTCATCCGTAGATAATAAAATGAGAAATTTTCAATTTAAACTTATTCATAGAAAAATTGCATCACACAGATTTTTTTATCTGATAGGTATAAGAACTTACTCAAAGTGAATGTACTCTGTCTAAAAAATCCTGAACAGACAAAATAGCTCATGTATTTGTAAATTGTGAAAAAGTATGATCTCTCTAGAAAGAGTATATTTGTATGGTTAAACAAACAGAGCATACAAAATCTTTTATTAACCAATAATTTCTATTTCGTCGATACAGTTATCATTTTTGCAAAATATGTTATATTCACTTGTAAAATGCAAAACGATATTCCATTATTTCCTTCTTTTCAACGAGCTCTAAAACATTTAGAAATATGCAACATATAATTGCTTTCAAAAAATCGTCTCGATCTTCATAATAAAAATGGAAGATATTTTGTGAACTAACTTTTACTGATGAGTTTATTATTATTCTATACGAACACTTATTATATTATTATTTTGCAGACATAAATCATTATTCGACATTGAGATATGATTTCATAAGATATTTATTTGTAATGGCCATTCACCATTAGACTGTGCAGAGTTATGTACAAACATCAACTATCAGTATAATATCATATAAAAATATATACATGTTTGCAAAGGTTATTAACCATTATAATTTACAGACTTGTAAAAAACTCTAATCTCAGTATGATATGATACATAATATATACATGAATGCAAAAGGCAATTAACCATTATTATGTGCAGACTTTAATATGCACAACACTCCAATCTCAGTATGATATCATACATAATATATACATGTATTCGAAGGTAATTCACTATTTAAAGGGACTTTCTAACATTGTAAAGATGAGAGAAAATGTTGCTAAGGTATAGTGACTTCAATGCTAAATGTACAATTAAAGATAATCTGAAAGTTTGAGTGAAAACAGACCGTTATTAACGATAACAATTGGGAGAAACTGATCTGATCGATACCTTAATTCTCCTAACTATATTATTAAAATGTAATTACATTTTAGGTGAATGTAAATCGTTACAAAGCAATGAATTGGCTCTACATAACCATTGGCCATTCACCATTACAATGTGCAGACTTATGTACATAAATCATAGTTCGACACAGATATGATTTCATTAGAAATTTATTTGCAATGGCCATTCACTATTATAATGTGCAGAGATATTTACAAACATCAAATCTCAGTATGATATGATATAAAATATATACATGTATGCAAAGGTTTTTAACCATTGTAATCTACAGATTTATGCACAACACTCCAATCTCACTATGATATCATACATAATATATACATGCATGCAAATGTAATTCACCATTTAATATCCGAGACTTGTGCACAAAACTCCAATCTCAGTATAATATTATATGGCATATATATATATATCAAATGGACATTCATGTATAAATGCATGCAAAGGAAACTCACCATTATAATTAACTCCAGGAAGCTCCGACGCCGGAGCTTCAGAGGCTGCATATTCAAACGAATCTTCGATGGGGAAACGGGGGTGATTTTTCGTCCTACCCCCGACGATTCTTCCATGTTGTATCGTCGATTCAACATGGCGAAGAGAAAGTACGCACGCATTCATATTTGCTGCGCCGCTACCGCGCATGCGTACTTTCTCGTCGCCATGTTGAACCGACGATACAACATGGAAGAATCGTCGGGGTACTAGGGTAGGACGAAAAATCACCCCCTTTTTTCCCATCGAAGACTACTTCAAATTATAATTTCAAGTGGCCTGCGAGATGCCCAGAACCTTATAATTCAAAATCGTAATTACTCAATTTGCATATTTTGAGATAATGTCGCCTTACACGGCTTCCTGAAGTTACATTATAACGTGCAGACTTTTGCACAAAACTCCAATCTCAGTACGATATTATATGACATATTTATATGCAATGGATGTGCAGACTTATGTACAATACTCGAATCTCAGTTTAATATCGTATACATGCATTGGACATTTACCAGTATGATGTGTATACCTGAGTCTGAGTACATCACTATAACAATCAAATGTGAATGTTTAACATTGAAAGGATAAAAGGGACCAGAAAATAGCATTTAATGCTAATCGTGTCTGGTACCACTAACAGACACAAGTATCACAGGCACAGCAAGGAATGAGCATGTAATGAATACATATGAATAAGTATTGAATACATACTTATACTACAAGCTATTCTACGTATAGGCTAAAAACATATATGTTCTGTGATTAAATACAAATCTTTGGTATTTTACACTAAATAAAAGATACAAAATTATATAACATAATATTTACATAAAGGAAAGAACCTTGGTTTAAAGCTAAAAACAATTATTCTATCAACATTTGCGATATTAGAGTTCTACGAAAGCAAGACACTGATGCTTTCTCCCGTACAGATAGGGGTAGATCATTCCAATAGCGTGTGCCTCTGAATGAAAGTGAAAAATTACCTTGCGTTGTCCTTACTTTAGGCACACTTAACTTCTTACTTTCTCTTTGTCTAGTCTCATAGTTCTATGAAATAGCTCTATGAAACAGCAATACTGAATTAGAGACTGCGGCAATATATCATTTAATAATTGATACATAAAAACACAAATAGATAGTTTATGGATTTGATACACATTCATTCATTTTAGCTCCCGGAATATCGGTTGTGAATGAGTCCTAATTGAACTAAACGTTATAACTCTTAGTGTCATCTTTTTGCTTAATAATAAACACTTCATTTTTATTTCATAATTACCCAAACCTCGATTCCGTAGGTCATATGCGGTTGAATTAACGTTTTATAGAGTAACAATAAAACATGCCTTGGCACAAACTGTGATGTGATGGTGGTTATTTTTACCTGATTTCTAAGAAATCATAAATGCTTGTAAGTAAGCAATCAGACGGATTTCGGTCCTCTCCAAGGGACCTGGTAATTCATTCATTTCGGTTTATTGTGTCAAAATTCCATGTTAAAACAGTCGGGAGACTGAAACAAACAAAGATTACAAAGTTCGAAGAAATAAAGAGAAATTAAAAATACATGTACATCAGTATGGAAACGATCACAAATTAGTTCAAGGAATAAATTAACAATAATAATAATGGGAACTTCAATATGCTGCACATCATACATAAAATAAATCGAATTTACAATGAGGATTAATGCCTTACCAAAGGGCACTAGCGCCTCGACTTGGTTTCGAACCCGGGTCACCGGATTACGAGACCACTGCTCTACCGATTGAGCTATCGCGCCACTGTCTTAATCTATATAAAACACCAACCTTCTTCCTAATACACTTATTACAGGGATAGGTGAGTTCTGTTTTCAGACTGCAACGTGCATGGTTATTACTCTTATTCTTATAAACGACATTTCTAGTGCCTTTTTAGAACCTTCAAATGCTTTGAAAGTAAATTAAAACCCCAAAATGTGTGAAATTTAGCCAATACGATCATACCAATTCATCTCCACTTAATCTCCACGGTGACCGTTAATCAATCATTTAATTAAAAATAAAACACATACTATTCTCTTGAATGTATAAATAAACACTGTATATAGATAAATATGAGTTCACAATAGCATGTGTTTGTTGACCTTTTTATTGTGGTTAATTACAGTGAACAATTAAACCGTCAAGTTCAACATCTCTCAGAACATCATGTAAGTCAGCCACGCTACGGGTAGATCTATTCTTCCATTTCGCCATGCATTCCCTCGTTGCCTCCTCATAGTTACTATTATTCGTTTTCAAAATGTTCCTGGCCTGGGTGTGCACGATTCCAAGCTTCTCGCTAAACGCGTTGTAGGCGTAGCTTGGAATGTAGCTTGCCAA